ATTCCAATCCTTCATCTCTCTATATTTTTCCAGTTGTTTGGTGTCTTCTCTCGTTCTTCTTGTTTTGGCAATGTCTAGCTCTACCGGTGTTAGCTCAGCTCGCGATGATCAGTTAGTGAATAATGTTCCTCGCCTTCTTATGAACAAGATGATCATTGTTAAACTTGACGATCATAGCTATTTGATATGGAAACAACAAGTTCAATTAATGGCCAAACAACATCGATTGCTAGGATTTCTTGATGGATCCACTCGCCCTCCACCAGCTCTAGTTCAAACCGAATCGGGTCAGACCATTGTGAATCCAGTCTTTGAGGAGTATGAAGTACAAGATTTGTCACTAGCCGTCTGGTTACTCTCCTCTATTAGTGGGTCAGTGTTACCTGAGCTCGTTGCTTTCAATATGGCCGTACAAATCTGGTCTCGTCTTGAACAAATCTACTCATTCAAATATGATGCAAAAATCCTCTCCTACTGAAATCAGTTATCTAATCAAAGAAAAGAACTATCGATGCGTGATTTTCTAGCCACAGCTAGATCAATCTGTGACCACTTGGCTATGTTAAGGCACTGAGTTGCTAAGACTGATTAAATTTCTTACGAACCGAATGGCTTGACTATGAAATATGAATCTATGATTGCTGTGATTAATAGTGCTCATGGTCGTTTCTCAATTTCTAAAGTCCATACAATGCCCATCGATGCTGAGACTCATGAGAAAGCGTTCATCCAAACGATGTCAGCGCAAGCTAACTATGCCAGTCCTAATTATCAAGGATCTTTCAAATCTTCAAAACAAGTCTATAATACCACTTATGATTTGTTGTCTGACAGGGGTCGTGGTGGTGCTACTCTGTTTCAGCGACCTTTGCCACGTCTCACAGCACCTTTTGGTCGAGGTAGAGGTCAAAGTCTTACTTTTAATTGGTGAACTTATCAGATCTACGTGAAAGTGGGCCATACTGGTGATAGGTGCTATTTTTGGTATGATTATAATTTTAATAATAATCTTCCTACTGGACCTACTCCAAGTGCGTATAATACTATTTCATATTTTGGTGAGCAAATCTGTGGGAGAATATGTGCAACTCAGGGTCATGGTTATGTTCAGTCTTCATCTCATCAGATCTCTGGCACAAGTCCACAGTTGAACAACGCTCAGACTTCAACAGGATCTACTACACTAGATGCTACAGCCAATCAAGCTACGCCTATTTCAACTCCTATTCAGCCTACTGATGCTCAAGTTTATCTCGATAATCTTGCTGCCACAAATGATGATGATGCATGGTATTTTGATTCGAGAGCCACTTAGCATGTTGCTCATACAACTGCTCCACTTCAACAAGTGTTTGATGGATCCAGACCAGTGGAAGAAGGTAATGGTCAACCCTTACCTATCTCTAAATTTGGGCACACTAGTTTATCTACTCATAAGACTTTACATCTGCATAATATGCTTCTTGTACCTGCTATGAAAAAGAATCTAATGTCTGTAGCTCAATTCACGAGAAAAACAGGTTTTAGTTGAATTTTTTCCCAATGATTATGTGGCTAAGGACCTACAAACACGAATGACTTTGGCGCATGGTACTAAGACCCGTGGTATGTACAAATATACTGGAAAGCAACAATCTCATCAGCAAGCAGGTTTCCCTTCATATAGTAACAGTTGCTATTCTGTTTCTAGTTTTGATGTTTTGATTCTGTGGCATCATATACTTGGCCACCCATCTATTGAAACTAATAAAAAAGTTTTATAGTAGAATAAGGTAGTGGCCTCTAAAGATTGCAATTGGTCTGTTGTTAAGCCTGTCAATTAGGAAAGAGTCACAAGTTGCAATCTTTCACCACAGAATACAATAAACCTTTCCAACTTATAATGGCTGATTTATGCAGTTCAGCTCCAATTTTATCTTCTGGCTATGGCCACTATATTGCATTTATCGATGCTCATAGTCACTTTGTATGGATGTATCTGTTAAAATGCAAATCCAAAGCACCACAAGCATTCAAAAATTTTAAGAACGAGGTTGAGGTGCAGTTTCAAACTAAGACACAATAATTTCAATCTAAAAATGGTGGTGAATTTCAAGTTTTTTCTTAGTATCTTACTGAGTCTGGCATGCATCATCGGCTGTCCTGTCCTCACACATCCGAACAAAATGGTTTGGTAGAAAGAAGACAGATAAATTGTTGAAATAGGACTTACACTAATTGCTGTTATCACTCTATTACTGGCCGCATACCTTCACCTCTATCATGTTTCTCATGAACAAATTACCTTCTCAACCCTTAAATGGATGCACTCCACATGAGAAATTGTACGGCAAACTGCCAGATTACTCTATTTTGAGGGTCTTTGGCTGCAAGTGCTATCCTTGGACAAAACCTTATAATACTGACAAGCTGGACTATAGATTAGTTTCGTGTGTTTTTTTTTTTTTGGTTACAGTTCTTAACACAAGGGATATAAGTGTTTGGATCCTTTGACTGGAAGGTCATACATATCAAGACAGCAGACCAAAAATTAGGAGGGTAGGGGTAGGGGTAGGGGGCAAATAACATTAAAAAAGTTTACAACAATCGTTGGGTACTTACTGCTAGTATCAATTGAGTCTGAACAAATTCATCCATGTCATGAAGACCTGTGACTAGACGAAAATATGGAACAAATCTTAGTTTCTTAGCATGAACATAACTATACACATCATACATCCAAACATTATGAAGTTACAATCATGAACGCCCTTTACCGTCAGGAGCACCATCACCCACAACCAGGTCAGCCTTGCAACTATCAAAATGTCTAATGACCTGAAGAAAACAAGACAAATGACACTTGATCATACTTTGGTATATAGCCAATTGAAGAAAATCATGTTGGTCGGCAAAAAGCAGCATTGAAACAGTAAGTTCTATACTTTTAAGTTCCAACTAGTTCCTAGAGGATGAAAACGAGATAAAAGGATCATTTAAAGACTAGGCTAAATCCATATAACCCTGTGTCATCATACCAAAAAGCTACAACAATGTACATAATTACATTTTGCACAGGATTGCAGTGACTTTTTTTCAATCTGATAGCTATCTTCTGTTTCTTTACTGCATTTCCAACATCAGATTTTCTTATCTCCAAGAAAAAAAGAACAGCAAAAGGGAGTTGCAAGTATGCCGTTGACATTTAAACAAACCAGTAGCAACGACTATATAATTTTATGATAGAAATATACAATAGCAGACAAATGATTTAGACATATGAATTCATAGTCTGAACATATCCTTCAATAATGGATCCTAACCCAAACAGACTCATAAGCATAATATCTTTGGTATTATGCATTATGCACCCACCCCTAAAAGAAAATCATTTGTATCTAACAGGAAAAAGGATAAGCAAAACATTAACTTCTCAATACAGATTGGTGATTATTAACAAGTCTTCCTACTAAAATTAAAGGCATAAATGGAAGATTTGAGATAGTAGTGCCGTACATACCACTTCAGCTGCACGGGCATTAGTTATATCACCCTGCACCTGAATAACACCTTCAATTGGAGCCATTGGCTATAGATCGATAGCAACTATAAGAGGAAGATCATCATCCCTGCATATCACAGTGTATCAGGAAATTTATGGTCTTGACAGAATGACATGAATGACAATCAAAATATAAGCGACAGATGTTTTTAAAGATAAATTTCGTGATAAACAATGTCAGTCCACAATTTAAAAACTTCCAAAGTGGTCAATGAGTTTTCAATGATCACTATCAAAACATCAAATTTGCATAATAGCTAATTGTTCATGAAAACTTAATCCAATGGCTGCTAACATTGTAAGAAAAACAACCACTTTGTGACTTCATTTTAAATTATTTAAGTTTTTAGGCAAAGGAAAAATAATTATACATAGCTTATGAAGAAATATACATAAATACACAATGTATCAATATTCAACAATCAAAAGCAAAGATTAATAGTCATACTATCATGTGAAAGCTCATCAAAGGGAAAATGAAATGCTTTTTAAGCGCTAGTTTATATAACCAAAACTAGCCAAACAAGAAAGTTCTTGATCGCAATCTAACTTGCATTAATTCATATTTCTAAATTGAAAGACAAAGACCTTAAAATCAAGGAAATCCGGAAGAAAGCAAAGAACTTTATGAGAAAGTGAATTTAATTTGTATCAGGTGCAAGTTATTCTGGGAAATACAGTTTACGACTCAAAACCTGAATAAAGGAACTAGGGATCATCCAACGATTAAGATGAAACCCATATGAGTCTCGAAAATGCACAAGCATAACTCAAGATTCTTCCATCAATGTTCTAGCACCAATAACTTATATTCATTTCCAAAGTAGATTGTGTTTCCCATTCTTAATAATAAACAACAAACACAATAAGCCTTATCTCACTAGGTGGGGTTGGCTATATAGATTAAACGATGCTATTGTACTCTATCAACAACCAAGTCTTTAGATACGTTATTGATTAGAAGGTCTCGTTTAATGACCTCATTGAGGGTTCTCTTTGGTCTTTCTTTGCCTTTTTTTGTACAACTCCAAACTGTGTGATCTACCCTTCTCTCCAATGGCTTTCTCTGCAAATACCCAAACCACCTCAAATAGTGTTCAACCATTTTCTCTTCGATAGGCATCACACCTACTCTTGCTCTAATATTTTCATTTCAAAACTTATCTTTCCTTACATGACTATACATCCATCTCAATATCCCCGTTCTTAATAATGTCAAACATTATTCAGAAAATCTTTTGTTTTAGATTAGTCAATGCTTTGTCCCTTAAACTAGCATGCTGATCTAGTAAATCTGGCTCTTTTGGTTGTATTCTTTGTTTACCCTCTAACAACAGTGTTCTTTTAGCATAAAGGGAAAAAAAAAGGAAAACCAGAAGTGTATTGCTACCACCATTACTTTTGTATTATTCCACATCACTCTTACACTCAATATTATAATATTTCTAATCACAAGTACCTAACTCCAGCTACCAGGGGCAGCGCATAAATCTACCACCCATTTCACTGCTGCAAAAGAAATTGTAACTGTAAGCCAAGAGAGGAAATTTGGGCACATAGATACAGCTGCACAGATACACATGCACACAAGTGTGTTCATGCTGTGCTGTTAAATTGTGAACTATAAAACTCATTAAACCTTCCAGATAATTTTAAGATGCTAAAGCCCAAGCTTTCTAGTAAAAGGTGTGGACTCAAGCCTGTTAAGTGCCTAATCTCTAATTCTGTCTAACACTAATCACATTCTCAACCTCAAATACAAAATAAAGGGCAATCCTTCTGATCAAGCCAATGAATTCATTTGTTTCTCCAAAATGTTAAGAAAACCAAGCTAAAAAAAGTTATTGTGGCAGGTTATTATGAATTTCACCAACAAGGCATGCACCTTCAAATATGTTGAATTCCTCATCTATTTGAAGAAGTTTGAAGGAACTTCGAGCATGCCAACCTTCTTTTGCTTTCCAGTAGTAGATATCCTGTAAAAAGAAGAGGAAAACATCCAGCTGAACATAGAGAAGCAACAAAGTAAGAGACAGAATCAGAGAAAGATATCAATCATACCCTCTTATTCTTATCCCTTGAAGCCTTGCCCATGATTTTAATTTACTGACTTCTCAATTTTGTATTTAAAAAGACCTCCTTTCACCAAGAATACTATCAATGTTAGTGTTCCAAGAACCTGCCAAATATTCAGGGCAATCAAAGTTAGTTTGATGAAAATAAAAGATAAAAAAGGAAGTGGGTGAAAGAGAGATAAAATTTAGCTCATTTGTGAATTGTGAGGTACAGTTCATTTGAAACGGAGAGGTGGTTCCCTTCATCAATAGGTCCAGCCAGCTTGAAAACAAAAACAAAAATAGAGGCACATGAACATTTATTTATGGGAATATTAATCTTTTGGTCATTATATTTTTAACTCATTTGTAACCTAACTCATGGACTTTAACTCAGTGCAATAAGTCCCTGTAGTTTTGACTCGGGTGTGATCTAGTTCATGAACTTTGACCCGATGAAACATTGAAACCATTTAATAAATGGGCTGGAATAAACTATCGGGTTAGCCGGGTCACGAGAAGTGTTTGGTTGATGACCTTTTCTTATATATGGAAAAGGAAAAGGAACAAGAGTTAAACCGCCCTTAACTATTTTAATCCTTCTTTTTGTGGTTTTAAAACAATGTCAACAGTATACATTTAGAAAAGAAATGAAATTAAGGTGGATGAAGTGAAATAATTGAAAAGGTAAAGGGAAATGAGATGGGGGTTGATGGCAGTGACAAATCATTTTTCGAATGGTCAATTCCAGTCCCCGTTTTGACAAGTCTAATGCTACTTAACTGTTCTGCCAATTCTGTTTCTTGTTCTCCAACAGTAAGGGAAAAAAACTCTAATTCTTCGTTTAAACTTTCAGCCATTTCTAGTAGCTCAGACAGAATCACAAATATGATTAAAATGCATATAGATTTCACGTGCTTGAATCATCTTGATGACCAAATCAGTCACAAGATAAACGAAAGAAAGACACCCAGAAGCCACAGTCACAGATTTCCAGTCCACATAGCAACAACAACATAAGTAATCGAAGCTTACAGAAGGAAGAAAGCACAGAGTAGAAATGTAGAATCACAATGTGAGAATTAGGCGAGAATAATTCTGTTTTATTGAATGATTCTGAAGTAGAGCGGTACAGAATATATAAGGCTAGGCTACGGTAAAAGATAAATGACTAAATGATAAAAAGAATCTATCATAATCTATCCTAATCAGGCTAGAATCTCAATCTGTCTAATAAACTAAAAATACAATGATAGAAATAGATGAAACACAGCTTATTGGGCTTGGGCTTTATCTTCCAACACTCCCCCTCAAGCTGGTGAGTAGATGTCAATCATTCCCAGCTTGCTCCTATGTACTTCAAATGAGTCTCTGGGTAGCAGCTTAGTAAACAAATCTGCTACTTGATTCTTGGTTCGAATGTGAGATAAATCAATGATACCACCTTCTATTTTTTCCCTTATAAAGTGTCTATCAATTTCGACATGTTTTGTTCTATCATGGTGCACTGGATTTAGAGCCATTTCTATAGCTGATTTACTGTCACTCCAGAGTTTTATTGGCCCAATATGCATCAGTCTCAGCTCTTTTAGAACTCTAATTATCCAGATTCCTTCACAGACCCCAAGAGCCAGTGCCCTTAGTTCTGCCTCGGCACTGCTTCTGGAAACTACTGGTTGTTTCTTGCTTCTCCAGGTTACCAGATTTCCCCATAAGTAAGTAATGTATCCAGTAGTGGACCTCCTATCTAGTAAGGACCGCCCATGATCAGCATCCGTGTAGATTTCTATCCCCCTGGACTCTCCTTTCTTGAAGAATAAACCTTTTCCTGGATTCATCTTCAAATATTTCAAAATTCTGTACACCGCTTCCATATGCTGTTCTTGCGGTTGATTCATAAACTGGCTTACAACTCCCACAGCATAACTTATATCTGGTCGTGTATGAGCTAGATAAATAAGCTTTCCTACCAACTGTTGGTATCTTCCAGTGTCAACCAGTGTACTATCTTTCTTGTATTCCAAATTGCAGTCTGTCTCCATAGGAGTTTCTACAGGTTTAGCTCCAAGCATTCCTGTCTCTTGCAACAAATCTAGTGTGTACTTTCTCTGAGAAACATTTATTCCCTGTTTGATTCTACTAATCTCCATCCCAAGGAAATACCTCATCTGTCCCAGATCTTTCATCTCGAACTCAGCTGCCAATGATTTCTTTAACTTTCTTACGGCACTTTCATCGTTTCCTGTAATCACAATATCGTCTACATACACTATTAGGATAGTGATTTGACAAAGAGCGTATGATCTGATTGCCCTTGTGAGTATCCCATCTTCTTCATTGTTGCTGAGAATCTTCCGAACCAAGCTCTAGGGGATTGTTTTAGTCCATATAATGATTTCTGGAGTTTGCAGACCTTTGAGCAATTTGTTGAATTCTGGAGGCCAGCAGGTATCTTCATATATACTTCTTCTTTAAGATCTCCATTTAGAAAGGCATTTTTCACATCTAACTGATAAAGTGGCCAGTCTAAATTTGCTGCTACTGATAAGAGAACCTTAATGGTGTTGAGCTTTGCTACCGGGGCAAAGGTTTATTGATAGTCAACCCCATATGTTTGTGTATATCCTCGGGCCACAAGTCTTGCTTTATATTTGTTTATGCTTCCATCTGGATTGTACTTGATGGTAAAAACCCACCGACATTGTTAGGATTATAGTTTTGATGATAACAAAGTTAGATTAATTGAGTTAAGTATGTTGATCGATCATCTGATCGATCAAACGTTTATTGCTAAGGTTACAGATAATTGTTCAGGTGTAAATCAGTTTTATAGTAGGTATTTTGATCGAAGAACTATCCGATAAGTGGTTAATCGATAAAATGATCGATTATCGCTAACATGGAAATCACACAAGGTTACGGTTAATTATCGATCACCTGATCGATAACATCAAATAAACAATCGAGTTACTGATAAAGAGAACCAAATCTGAAGTGCATTTATCGATCACATGATCGATAAATCAGTTATCAATAACGAATTCGATAAGAGGTAACACTCTACTCGTTCTGTATATTAATTCTGTTATCCATCATATTTTCGATCATTTATTTATCGAACACATAATCGAACAATATGCTCTAACTCTCTGGATGCAGGAAGCCATCATAACTGCTGAATCGATAACATTATCGATCAGAAAGTTATCGATCACATGATCAATAATCAATGTTTTTATCTGCTCATATTTAGTTTTTTTGCAACCAAATTATCGATAACATTATCGATAATTTAACTTGTCTGCATAATATCTTTTCACATAACTTGATCGATAAAGAGTCTAAGGATTGCTATCTTCGCATTAACTTATGTTGAACCATTTTTTCGATCACCTAATCGAACATTGACTTTTCGATAATATGATCGATCATCCAATTTCCTGAAACTCATGTTTTCACAAAACGTGATTGATAATCAGTTTCTTTACCTTACAGGATTAAATTTCTTTTCTCACTTTATCGATCACTTGTTCGAATATTCATTGATTGATCACCTATTCGATCATTTCAGATAGTCTGTGTCTTTCGCTGAATATATTCATACTCATGGTTTATCGATAACCTTATCCATCATCCATTTATCGATAAGTTGTTCGATCATCAATGACTGAAGTTTCATTTCTGTAACATTTGAATTATCGATAATCTGTTCGATCAACAAGTGCTCGATCACTTGTTCGATCATAGAACGATTTCCGTTTACTATGATAATTCTTAAAATCAATGATCCAACACTTGATCGATAATCATGTTGAACTAATTCAAAAGCTTTCCCTCAGTTTATCAATAACCTAATCGATCAACAAGTAATCGATCACCACTTCGATTAAGCATGTCCAGGATCTCTTTCTGATCTTTTTACAGATAAATTATTTCATCTAGAATCATTGTATAATTGATTCATTTTTCTTCTTAGTTCATGACCAAAGCATACACCGCAAATCTTTTACTTGTTCAAAGTTTAAAATATGCAGATCACTAAGAAAGACTGCAACGGCTCTTCAACGGGATTACGTAAACTGCAACCTACAGTGTCAGAAGCTCAGACTCATTAATGACGGAACCGTTGAAACCGGCGAAACACGCAAACGGAGTCACAACGGCTAGAAGCTCTTCTGTCTAACGGCTACTTAACGATCTCAACTATAAAAGGCGCGAAGAAGCATTAATGAAGGGATTGAATAGCGGAACTACCACTTGTGATTATTAAGCCTAGCATTCAATACTCTGTTTTCCTCAATACTACTGAGCATCAGTGTTCATCATTAATTTCACTCTGTAAGAGAGTCGATAACTACTCTTCATTAATTACTATTGAGTGATACTCAAGAGTGTGGACTCTTGAGAGGGCTTGTATCCTTACGGGAGTAAGGGGGAGTGATTGAGCGATTCAATTACTGTACCGAGGCACCAAGAGCCCTGTCGATCTTGGAAGATAGTGAAATACTCAGAAGTGTTCTGAGGACTGGACGTAGGTCAAGTGGTTAAGACCGAACCAGTATAAATCTTGTGTCTTCCCTCTGCGGTGAAATCTCTCCTGACTCTGACTCTTTGTTTTCAATACTGTCTCGTTTTAATTTTAAAATTTTTGTAACTCACCCAATTCACCCCCTCTTGGGTGAGATTGATTCTAACAGACATCCCACAGTCTTCTTTCCTGAGGGTAAATCAGTGATTTTCCACGTTTCATTCTGTTTCAATGCTTCCAACTCTTCATTGATAGCCTGTTTCCAATTAGAGTTACCCATAGCCTCTTGAAATGTCTTGGGTACTCTTTCACTGGACAAGTTTACTACAAACGTCTGCATTCTAGAAGATAATTTGTCATAGGAAACAAATTTACTGATCGGATGCTGAGTACAGGATCTTACCCCTTTTCTGAGAGCAATTGGCCACCCAAGTTCTTCAGAATCTAACATTGGATTGGAGACTTGGTTATGCCTTGGAATGTGAGAGACTCTATTATTCTGCTGCTCTTCT